TACAAAAATATACTCCTAAGTTAGGCTTTCAGTTCATTTATGTACCAAGCTAGGCTGCAGTTGGTCATGTGGGGACTCAAGGTATGAAGGCAGCCTCAGGCCGAATTTACTTTAACAATATACCAACTTGGGCTAAAACAAAGGAAAGGGGATTAAGGGCTTCTGGGCAGGGGAAAGAAGTTATGGGAAGGTGACCAGGAAAAGTCTGGTAAGCTTAAATAAGATTTGTTATGCAGATTTAAGTTAATGTCCTTGTCACTTATAGTCATCCTGTGTTTCTGGTAGAGAGGGATACAGCCTTGCAAATGGACATTTCCTTTATAAATGTAAATCCCTTTACAAAAGGTAAACTTACGTTCTATCTTCAGAGTTTCTCCTGTGTCTGCTATTTCTCAAAATAATCAGCTCAAAATAATCCTTATACTAACAAAACATTTTGGGAGGTGTAGCATATTCTAGTCTACACTGCCGGTAAACTGGAATGTCTCATGAATGAAGATTTCATGACACTGGCACATCAGGACATCCTAAAGCGTGAAGACTGTTTTATTCCTGTGACTTCAGTTCCCACTGCAAGTGGCACATGGAGCTACTTCTGGTTGATCTCTGCAGACCATATTCCAAACACCACATCAAAATGTCTACAATAGGACGTTGCTAACTAAACATCACCTAAAAATGAGACATTTCAAATCACTAAATCTGACTTTCTTAACAAACCAAAATTTCTTGGTTTCATTATGTTTTATTTTAATCCTCGATATCATTCCCAATTACTTTGTCTACTTTTTCCATTAATTACTAAGAGGTTGAAGTCTCCCAAGTGTGGCTTTGATTATTTCCCCCTTTAATTCTTTCTATTTTTGTTTCCTGTGTTTTGAAACATTTTGCCTGTATTATTAGGTACAAACACATTTAGGATTACTGTGTTCCTGAAGAGCTGATCGTTTTATCATTATGAAATGCCTCTCTTCAATTACCTTTAGCCTAAAGCTGCCTCCTTACATTTTTTTTTGAGACGGAGTTTTGTTCTTGTTGCCCAGGCTGGAATGAAATGGTGCAATCTCAGCTCACCGCAACCTCCACCTCCCGGGTTCAAGTGATTCTCCTGCCACAGCCTCCCAAGTAACTGGGATTACAGGCACGCACCACCACGCCCAACTAATTTTGTATTTTTAATAGAGACAGGGTTTCTCCATATTGGTCAGGCTGGTCTCAAACTCCCGACCTCAGGGGTTCCTCCCACCTCGGCCTCCCAAAGTGCTGGGATTACAGGCATGAACCACCACACCCAGCCCTCCTTACATATTTTAAGTTTGGCCTGAAGGTTTCTCCATACTTAGTGAACTGTAACCTAACTGGATGTGTAAACAGACTGTAACCTACTTTTGTCTCAGGCAATCACAGCCGCAGTACTTCAATCACTCATAGGCAGCCAGCGGTTCAAACTGCATTCAAATAAGGCAAACCCTGAGCTGTAACCAGTCCTGCTATTTCTGTACCTCCTTTTTCTATCCATAAATCCTCTCTGACCACGTGGCAGTGCCAGCATGGCTCTGAATCTTCTCTGGTTTAGGAGCTGCCCAATTTGCGAATTATTCTTTGCTCAACTAAAGTTTGTAAAATGTATTTATGTATTTATTTTATTATTTTGGAGATGGAGTCTCACTCTGTCACCCAGGCTAGAGTGCAGTGGCGGGATCTCGGCTCACTGCAACCTCTGCCTCCCAGGCTCAAGCGATTATCTCAGCCTCCTGAGTAGCTGGGATTACAGGCGTGTGCCACCACACCAAGCTAATTTTGAATTTTTTTTTTTTTTTTTATTAAGTAGAGATGGGGATTCCCCATGTTGCCCCGGCTGGTCTCAAACTCCTGGCCTCAAGTGATCCACCTCTCTCAGCCTCCCAAACTGCTGGGATTACAGGTGTGAGCCACCACACCCAGCCAACTTTGTAAAATATAATTTGTCTCAAGTTTTTCTTCTAACACATTCTTTGTCTTGAAATCTACTTTGCCTAACATTAATACAGCCACACCAGCCTTCTTATGGTTAGTGCTGCCATGGTATCTTTTTGATCCTTTTGCTTGACATCTGGCTGTGCCTTTATAGTACATTTATTGTAAACAATATACAGGTAGGTCTTGGCTTTTCCTGTTTTGACAATTTCTGACTTTTATCAGAAGGTTTTACGGCAATTATTTATATGGATAAGTTTAAGCTTCCATCTTTGTATTTGTTTTCTCTTTGTCCACCTGGGTTTTTTGTTGGTTTTTTTTGGTTTTCTCCACTCTTGTTTGCTGACTTCTTTTGTGTACTGCACGTTTTAGGATTCCACTGTAGTGCCTCTATTGACCTTTCACCTACACCCCCTTGTGTTTACTTTTTAATTGGTTGCTCTTATTGAGGAAATATAACTAACAACAAAATTTCCTGTCAACCTAAGGAACCTTTCCACAAAGTAAAGGAGAAAGAAAACAGTTTTATCACTGAATAAGCATTAAGTCCTGAAGGTGAGGCACATCATAGGTAGCTCCTAAAGAAACTGCAGGCCGGGCGAGGTGGCTCACACCTATGTAATCCCAGCACTTTGGGAGACTGAGGCGGGTGGATCACTAGATCAGGAGATCAAGACCATCCTGGCTAACAAAGTAAAACCCCATCTCTACTAAAAACACAAAAAATTAGCCAGGTGTGGTAGCGGGCACCTGTAGTCCCAGCTACTTGGGAGGCTGAGGCAGGAGAATTGCTTGAACCTGGGAGGCAGAGCTTACAGTGAGCCGAGATCACGCCACTGCACTCCAGCCTGGGCAACAGTGTGAGACTCCATCTAAAAAATATATATATATACAGGCTGGGCGTAGTGGCTCACGCCTGTAATCCCAGCACTTTGGGAGGCTGAGGCGGGCAGATCACCTGCGGTCGGGAGTTTGAGACCAGCCTGACCAGATAAACCTCATCTCTACTAAAAATACAAAAATTAGCTGGGCACGGTGGCAGGTACCTGTAATCCCAACTACTCGGGAGGCTGAGACAGGAGAGTCACTTGAACCAGGAGGTAGAGGTAGAGGTGAGCCGAGATCACCCCATTGCACTCCAACCTGGCAACAAGAGTGAAACTCCATCTCAAAAAGAAAAAGAAAAAGAAAGAAAGAAAGAAAGAAAGAAAGAAAGAAAGAAAGAAAGAAAGAAAGAAAGAAAGAAAGAAAGAAAGAAAGAAAGAAAGAAAGAAAGAAGGAAGGAAGGAAGGAAGGAAGGAAGGAAGGAAGGAAGGAAGGAAGGAAGGAAGGAAGGAAGGAAGGAAGGAAGGAAAGAAAGAAAGAAAGAAAGAAAGAAAGAAAGAAAGAAAGAAAGAAAGAAAGAAAGAAAGAAAGAAATTGCAAAGGCAAAAAGTTTTTGCTTTTTATATAGCCATTTAGAACATACCTGTTCACAAGATAAACTATAGCTTGTCCTCAAGTCACAGGATTTGACAGCACCATTTTGTCATACATAGCTCATCTTAAATTCACCTGGTAATTGAGGTGGCTATTGTCTTTGCTAATTGCCTTTGTTCAAAGAAATAACAAACTTCTTAGATCTCTCTGACAGGTAGCTAGTTATAATTTGGAGCGAGCAGCCATGGAGATGGGAAGATAGGGGTGCTGGCTTCTTTGATGTTAACATTTCAAAGAGACAGCCCCAGGTCCTTCAGAAGGACATCCCTGGTTATAAAGCTGGCAAAGGAGATAGAGAAAGAGCTAACAACTGCAGGTTCTTTAAACTAAATACTGTAAGAAAAAGAGAGATGAGAGATGGCAAGGGAAAGTTTTCCCTTTTTTGCACCAGGGAAAATTCAGTTTTTTCACATTTACATTTGTACTTACACTCTAGGGCTATGCTCTACGTGGCAAGCGGCTACCAACTAACTGGACAGCACAAATCTAGAATATTTCTATCATTGTGTAAAGATTTGGGGGGAACTTCAGAGTGAAACCACCTTTGCAAAAATTTTATCAATGAGAAAATCACAACACAAAAGAGGTCTGATCTAACCAACCCCTATCTTGCCTTTAACCTCCAAACTGCCTTTGGTCATTCCCGGGCTTGGGCTAAGCTAACTTTGGGAGATATTTAGGTTATAGTTTAAATGATAAGAGCCTTTCCCGAAAACTAAACCACCTTTATAAAACTAATGAAAGCCCACCAGGTTAGGAGGATGAAAGGGGCTTCTAGTCTGCTAAGGTGTAGATGTAAACAATTACCATCCATTCTTCCGGAAGTGACAAAATTTGCAACTTCCCCAATTACTCCGGCAGATAACATTATTATAATAGAACATAAGATTGGCCTTTTGGGATGTCTTTTCAGGCTTTTACATTTTTGATAACTGGATATCCATGACTCTTGGCTCAACTGCTCTTGTGGCCCCCATCCTGTAGCAGACTTGGTGCACTAGGACCGTTTTCCACACCCCTGTGATTGCATCCCCAACCAATCAGCGGCACCCATTCCCCTATCCCCCTGCAGTGAATTGGTTTTGTCTGTGCAGGAAGAACCCACTGGGTGATTACAACGGTTCTGGAAATTACAATATGCAACTTTAATTTATCACAGTCAACCTTCAAATACTCTACTGTTTCACAAATGATACATGTGAACCTTGAGCTTTCACTCTGTGGATCTTGCTATGCCATTCAATCTCTGACTTTCTTTCTACCCTTATGCTAATCAAAAAGCTTTCAGCATTGTTTCTGTCCCTCACACCTTCCATCATACCCCTGCCCCACTTGCTATAATGCATTATTGGCATGATATGAAACATACAGCATCAAGTCCAACAGTGGATGGACTCACATTGCTCCACAGATTACAAAAACCCGCCCATCCAAATTGAAAAAAATGTGATGAGGAACATATGTATCTGTTAAAAATCCAGATATGCCCTGGGCCAGGTATTTTCCATTTGCCTCTTCATACTCTCTCTCTGCCCTTCAACCTGCTCTGAGGCCCAGGAGCTTACCTTTTATGGACGTTTCAACGGGCGCTGCTTGCTGACTCTGGCTTTTAGATGGACTTCGCCAGTGATGGCCTTGGCTAGAGATTGGTGAGAAAGAGAAAAATGAGGTCAGGGCATCTCTCCCTCTTCCTCCCTCTGTTATGCATCTCTCTATAGAGCAACTCCCTCTCTGAGTTCCTGGACCCACGCTCTCTCCTTGTTCCTGTAGGCCTATTAGTAGTGGTTGCCTCCTCCTCAATTATTACCAGACTTGAAACTGTCCCCCAGTGTTGACAAGGATTGCATGCTGAGTTCTGAACACAAATATATTTGTAATTAAACATTAATCAGGCTGCACTTTGGCCCACTTCATTGTTGCTAAAAGTCAGGTAGCACCAGGTACTGACCATTTGCATTCCCATTGTTCCTACAGATAGAATCTCTGAGTTAGGGTCATAAGGCTGTTGAAGAATTGATTTGCATCCCCCATTGTTCCCCTGCATACTGTCAGTGGGTATTGAGATAAATGAAGGCAGGAATGGGCCTTTTTGATATGTGTCATCTCATACTTACTCCAGTATCAACCAACAAAAGAAATGGTTGGTGACTGAATGAACAGAGGGCCAGTCATAGGAAGAATGGTGCACTGTGGTGGGAGGAATTTACCTGTCTCAGAGGGTAGGGGTTTTTGGTACATTCAAGCAAGACAATTGCAAAAATCCAAACAAAATTTTCAGACTGGTTTTCTAAACCTGTGCATGATTCATTTAACTAGCAACATTTAATCTGCTGCATCCCAAGCCCAGGTCAGTTCTCATTGTTAAGTCTGAATCGATGGATTCTCAATGGCTTTGAGGGATTCTGAGGAAAACTACAGAGGTTTCAGTGCAGGACACGACCTATTTGCAATGGTTCAAAAGCTCTTTCAGTTCCTATATTCTGGTTACTTGGATTGTTGGAGATTTTACTCACTATATTAAAGATCTGTTTTATTCTTCTTTCTTTTTACCGAAGGCTATACATTAAGACGTACCCTATGTGTTCCCCTGCCCCTCGTCTACTGCTTTCAGCTTCTTCTAGCAGCAAGTTTGGTTTTGCAACCCCTCTTGAGTTGGACCCTTCTAAAGTCATCTTGAGTTTCTCTTTCCAGCCTCTCCAAGGACCACATCTATTGTTTCCCTAGGTTACATGGGTTCTTTTTCAAAGAAAAACACTGGATTGGGGTACTTCAATGAAAGAAGTTGGAAAACGCACAAAATACAAGCATCTTAAATGCTTCTAGATATACCCCACCTAGATGTACCAGGTTGAATTGGCTTAGCAGTAAACTATATGTACGCTCACCTAGTAACAATCCATGTGTTTCTACACTTAGCCTCTGGACTACAGAAATAAGATGGAACAGCAGAAGCACTGTGGCATAACTAGGAGTGTCATATGCTTCATGGCCACAAGATGGCACTATGCACGCAGTAAAAGAGGCAAAGTCACTCTATCAACGCTAGAAAGAAAAACAAAAAATTAAGCAATTAAGTAATAAGTTCTTGAGCAACACAAACTTGCAAAGGCCAATACCTTCCTTCACTAACTGTGACCCTCTCAGATAAAGTGTGATATGCTTCAGAGCTGCCTGAGAAATGAGACCTGGATTACGGAAGTCTAATAAAACCTGTACCACTCTGATGGTGAAATACAAAATGTCTTTCTGAAGGTCAGTCATGAGCCTTCGGCTCTATCAAAAATGCTGTATTTTGGAGGAAATGACGCTGGCCAATGGATTTACAAATAACACAGTCAGTCTGGCGTGGGCTTTCTTAAGAATAGATGTTGACTTTTTCTGAAAAATTAGATTCAACTAAGCATATGTTGAATTCTCACTATGTGCAGAACCCTGTTTAGTGGCTTTAAAATTATTCAAAGACGAGTAAGACCCAGCCCTTGCCCTCCAGAGGCTCACAATATAGTGGAGGAAGTAGTTACAAATAGCTTATTCTGAAAACCAAGACACCCTGTAAAAAAACAACACATCAAAGATAGAAAGAAAATGCCAAGGCTGATGGGAGAGATTAATTCTTCTTTTGATTAATTTCTCCTTGTCATTCCCAATTCCTCCAAGTTGAAGGGGAAAGGGAATGTCTAGCAGCTCTTCTTACACAGGTGGGCTTTCGATGAAAATTGGAAGTTGATATAGTTAGGATATGGGTCCCCTTCGAATCTCAGTTGAAATGTGACCTCCAATGATGGAAATGGAGTCTAGTGGGAGGTACTGGATAATGGGAACCTATCCCTCATGAATGGCTTCGTGCCATCCCCTTAGTGAGGAACCAGTTCTCGCTCAGGTAGTTCACGCGAGATCTGGTTGTTTTTTAAAAGACTGTAGCCCCTCTCTCCCCTCTCTTGATCCTGGTCTCACCATGTGATACACCCCCTTCGCCTTCCACCAATAATTGGAAGCTTCCTGAGGCCCCCACCAGAAGCAGATGCCAGCACCACACCTCTGGTTCACCTGCAGAACCGCGAGCCAATTAAACCTCTTTTCTTTATAAACTACCAGTCTCAGGCCAGGTGGGGTGGCTCACACCTGTAATCCCAGCACTTTGGGAGGCTGAGGCAGGCAGATCACCTGAGGTCCGGAGTTCGAGACCAGCCTGACCAACATGGTGAAACCCCATCTCTACCAAAAATACAAAACTTAGCCGGGCGTGATGGCGGGCATCTGTAATCCCAGCTACTCTGGAGGCTGAGGCAGGAGAATCGCTTGAACGTGGGAGGCAGAGCTTGTAGTGAGCCGAGATCGTGCCACTGCACTCCGGCCTGGGCAACAGAGTGAGACTCTGTCTCAATAAATAAATAAATAACCAGCCTCAGGTATTTCTTTGTAATAATGAAAAAATGAACTCATCCATAGAGTAAGTAAACAGGAGGAGGGACGACCTAGATCAGAAGCTCACACAGGTGAGGGTGGCTGGGGGTAAGGGATTAGAGGCGGTGAGTGCAGCAGAAGGTGTGGGTGAAAAGGTAGATACAGGCCACCCTGTGGAGGACTTGGAACAGCGGCTAAGGCTGTGGGACCAGACTCTTCATGCAGTACAGAGCCACAGACAATTGTGAGCAAGACACCTTGTAACCAGGTTTTAGAAAGAATCCTCAGCTGAAAGAGGAGATTCTGCAGGAAGAGGGAGGGGGAAAGTTGAAGATAACTCCAACCACTGTGAACCTTAAATAAATTTTTTAACAAAATGCCAGGCTATACTTACCAGGCTTTTTCTCTCCTAGTTTGCCAATTTATTTATTTATTTATTTATTTTCTTGAGACAAGGTCTCACTCTGTTGCCCAGGATAGAGTACAGTGGCGCAATCATAGGCACAATCACTGCGGCCTCAATCTGCCACTCAAGTGATCCTCCTGCCTCCGCCTCCAGAGTAGCTGGGACCACAGGCACCACCACATCCCGCTAATTTTTTTTTACTTTTTGTAGAGATGGGGATTTGCTATGTGACCAAGGCTGGTCTTGAACTCCTGGGCTCAAGTGATCCTCCCACCTCGGCCTCCCAAAGTGCTGAGATTACAGGTGTGAGGTACTGCCCCTGGACTAGTTTGCCAATTTAAAAGAAATCCCTGAGGTCCGCTGAATGCCCTTCACCTCAAGGTCCACTGAATGTCCTTCACCTCACTCGGAATTCTAGAGCATCAGAGGATCTTTCCATTCCATGTGATACACACCCAACCACACACTCAACCAACAGCTGACTGGATGAGAGAGGTACTGAACCTAAAAGTAGCCATCTACAGGTTGTCTGGAAGCCCAAGAGATAGACTGTTCAAAGATCTGCCCACAATGGGATGACGATGAATAATCAGTCCAGTTAACTCCCTTCTTGAGAATTAGAAATGGAAACACTGGAAAGAGACATTTAGTTAAAAGTGGACACAAAAGGGAAAAGACACACAGCAAAGCATTCTTCAGATTTCTTTGAGAGCAGTTAAACTGATGGCTAAAGAGACATGTGGAAATTCATGCTTTTCTAAGGAATGAGCTCTTTAGGAGTTTCTCTTGCAAACAGAGAGAAATAAAATTCCCACATAATCTAGAGCACTCTAAGGAAAAGTAGAAAAATCCACATTGTTGCTAGTACAGGACTTAGAGTCTTAAAAATTAGAGAAATTCGTTTAGGATTTATAGTCTTAAAAATTGGAAAAATCCACCTACCTGATCCACATGGAGAAGCTGGGATGAAATAAAAATGAAGATAATGATTAAAAGGAATATTCGCTCAATTTTTCCGCTCCCTGCATGCCTGCCCCGTCTGTCTCCCTCTACTGTCATACATACTCCAGTAATATTTGGCCATAAGTAAAAGCCAGGGGGTTAGAAAAAAGAAATAGGATAAACCAAGACAAACTATCAAGGAAGTAAAAGAAACACAGAGGCAAACAAATTCCTCATATCTCTTTCCCCTACTCCTGACACAGCCCTGATAACTGGGGATGAAGAGCATCTGCTACCAGGTGCATCCTCTGTACATTCTAATGATCCGACCCATGGAAAGAGAACCAAGTTCTTCAGCCCAGCTTCTAGGATCTTACCTCAGGAGAGAGTCTGAAAATTATGAAAAGATATACATATAAGGATGTTTGTTACTATGCTGTTTATCATGTAAAAATTGTAAACAGCAGGTTTTTGGTAGAGTTCATTCAAAATGAGCTGTGGGCCTAGCGTGCTGGCTCACACCTATAATCCCAGCACTTTAGGAGGCCAAGATGGGAGGATCACCTGAGGTCAGATGTTCGAGATTAGCCTAGACAACATGGTGAAATCCCGTCTCTACTAAAAATACAAAAATTATCCCGGTGTGGTGGCAGATGCCTGTAATCTCAGCTACTGAGGTGGTTGAGGCAGGAGAATTGCTTGAACCCGGGAGGTGGAGCTTGCAGTGAGATCACGCCACTCCATTCCAGCCTGGGTGACAGAGCGAGACTCCATCTCAAAAAAAAAAATCAGCTCGGTGCAGAGCTACATGTGGATTAATGAAGCATTGAAGGTTACAAAAGACAGAGATCCTCCCAAACTCCTTTTGGTAATCGCAAGGGAACCTGGAATAGATCTATCCACCACGCTATCTGACCTTTCTAAACTTGTGTGTCAGTCACATGGTTTATTGGTCTGCTTTTTAGATGAGCAAGCCAAAGGTGAGGTTCATGCAACTGTGGCACACCTGTACACAGGTAAAACTTTCAGACACAGTGGCCGCTGTT